AACGGTAAATTAAATTGAATATTAATTTTAGAAAAATAAATTATTATTAATACTCTGTGTTAAATAAAGAAAATTCAATTATACATTGAAATGCCCACATAAAATATAGTAAAAACTTAAGCTCAAGATCCTTTTTTTGAATGTTGTTTAATTATTTATATAAAAATATAAAAAATTTAAAAATGGGAAATAAAGCTATAAAACATATTTTTAATAATACTCTATAACTAAAACTATATATTGATACCTAACATTTTGTTTTTCATCAGCTATAAGTAGACATTTTGCTAATAAAAAAATATGTATTAAATTATATTTCTAAGCCACATAGTTTTAATATTTTAAATAAAACCCTAATAATTATAAATATATTTGTTTTTGAATTTTAAAATAGTTTATAAACATCTATATTTGTTCAGTACAAATAATAAGAGAGTTAGTGTTCATTTGTTTTATCAAATGTAGGCAATGAATATACACTAATATGATGATAGTGTTTATTAAATAATAATTAACAGAACATGTCCTTTAAGGAGCCTCTAATAAATCTCCTTAGTTTAGTTTTTGATCAAAAATAACTCATTCTTAATTGAATTTTATTATCTAACATGCAATTCAATATTATTTTGAACAGAAATATTTCAATACTTGATGCATTGGTTAAAAAGAATTTTAAATTTAAACAAAAATGTATTTCAATTGATGTATTAAAATATATATAACTTTTTTCAATCAAAAATATCCAAGTGTATAGGCCTTATAAAATATTTTTGTATTTTTTAAATGTGTACATGTGATACATTCCTACAATTAATCAAGGTGGACCTAGTCATAGTTCAATATATATGTAAAATTTATAATACAGAACATTTCTATAATTATTAGCAAATCATAAAGCAAATTTTTTATATTATTAATATATATATTTTTAAACAAATTTTTAATTCACAAAAAAACCCAAAGTATCCATCAATAAATAAAATAACCAAGAATTTCTATCAGTTATTAGTTCCTTTTAGTATTTTTTATTCAAAATTTAATGTGATTTTAACATTTGAATGATCTCTACAACTATTTCAAAATGAACACTAATACTCTGACCTACTTATATAATTTATTCTCACAGCTCTAAAAAACAAAATAAAAAATAAAAAATGAAACTAATTATTATTTCAGTTCAAAAACTATTACCAAATTAAAAATTAAGCATATTATAATAAATAATTTAATTGTGACAATGACATACTTGTTCAACAGAAGACTTTTGAAAATCAAAATTTACTGGCTTTGGTCCAGGTGATGACAATGAACTAGTTGGGGAATCAATGAACTTTGTCCACTGTAAACAATTTAATAAAATGTTTAAACTTTTAAGTGAACAATATTAAATAATTTACTTCTTTGCTTTTAATACTGCTAGTTGGTGATACAATAGTATTATTTGTAGTATTTATCTGGACTGGTGACATAGCTGGTGGCACTAATGATGGCGGTAGTTTCTTTGGTAGAGTAATATTGTTGCGTCTAAGAACAACTAAATGCATGGCTAATTTGAATTCTGCTAATGAAAGAGCTCCATCTTTGGTTACATCAGACAATTGCCTAAAATAAGATAAAATAAAAAAACCATAATAAAAGTTTCGAATAAACATACCATATTTCTTTAAGTTCATGTAATGGCAAACGTGATTTTTCAAAAAATGATCGGGCTATTGAGCCAGACAGTAAAGATTTTGGATTAGGTTGCATTGATGCAAACTGTTCTTCATAATATTTACTCTGTTCTTCATTCATACTCCAAATTCCAATGCCATTAGCAGATGAAACTGTTTCACAGTCAGAGGAATCTGCTTCCTCTTCAGTACCCAATAATTGTCGCTGTTCATCACCCCAAGCTAGAAAATCAAATTTTATTTGTTATAAAGATAACAGTATCTCTTTAACAATAGGTTTTGAAGTATTTAGATGTAATTTTATTATAGAAAAATATCTAATATTAATTATTATACCAACAGTTAATTTTTAATTTTCCTTAAATGAGTAATGATTTTTAATTAGAATGTAACCAATAATGAAAAATAAAAAGCACAAATAAAATTCATAGTAATTTAATTATTGAATTTATTACAATTATAAAAATACATTATTTTTTAGTTATATTAAAACATTTATAATGAAGTACAAGTGTGTGATTAGGGGTATGAGTCCATTATCTGTAGTATGAAGTATAAATAAACTTTTATAATAATATAAAATATCAAAGTTATAATATTAATATGAATAATATAATTTATAGCCCCACCTCTTACCAAGTTTTAAGAGCCGTACCTGGTCATTTAATTAGATCACTTACTGGCTACTGAAAATATTTATAGTGGATAAAAATAACTTTATATTATTTACACATTACATGGATAATTTAAAATGATTCTTGTTAATGACATATTGTTTAAAACCTAAAAAGCAAGCAACAAAATTATTTTATTTTTTTTTTGTTATTTTCTAGCGGAGCAGGAAAAAAAAATTTGAAATACATTTTAGGAAAATATTGTGTATACTCAAATTGTTTTTAATAATACACCACTACCTATAATAAAATATATTTCAACTTGTATTAACTACTTATGATACCTATTAATTAACCTAGTTAATTTTAAAAAAATGTGTTTATAAGCACTCAACAGGTAGATATTAAATAAGTTAAAAAATGATAAACTGTGCATTATGTATTAAACTATATTTATAGTTCATTACTTGGTCCGTGCCAATGAACCCAATTTTTATCCTGGACACTGTTGGTGGGCGTAGGCGAGTCACTAGCCGTGCTCGAAGCCTCTGTTGTTGAACTGTTTCGGGTGCGTTCCGCATCGCGTTCTGTGTTCACGATTACCATTTGACTGTCCGTCATAATAATAATTACTCAACGGTGTTTTTCCTGTGAGTCGTTCATGAGATAAAAAAAAAAAAAAATTAGTAAAATTGAATCCGACGACGGTGACATTAGCACAATGATGAAACTTGAATTACCTTGTATGGTAAAACGCAAAACCATCATACGTGCAATTAAGACGACAATCAGCGTTACTCAAACATAATTTTTTATTAAACCACAGGGGATGGACATGCGACCGATGATTATTTATAATAGTTTGCTATTGATGTCGTCGCGGCGAGCGAATCGTGGCGATACGGGCCCGAACAGATTTTCCACGACTCGTGTTGGAATTCGCCGTAGCTGATATAATAGTAATGATTATTATTATTATTATTATTATTATTGTCAGTCAATTAAACGCTTATTGTTGTTATCAGTGAGAATATGTATCACTGATAAACAAATAAATAAACAAATCGCACCGGTTAGAAGGGACGTCCGGTTTGCGCGCGGCAGGCGTTCCTAACTTTGTCTCTAATGTCTCCATTGTCATGGAACGACCTCACTCCTTGTCCTTGGTTCCTCTATCCAGTATCCATTATCCAGTCTATAGTCTATACTCTATCCTCAATCCTCATTCTTCAGTAGTCAATCCACGCTATTTTATAGTCAGTACTCAGTACTCTGAAGTCTGAACTCTCAGTCGGACAGATCACAGACAGTCATCTCCATCTACAATTTACACTGTTGGGTTAGTTGAGTTCGCTTCACATTAAGACTTTCGTCAGTTATATTATTATTATTATTGACACTTATGTCATATAACGATAATATTTCGTTACGACATTAAATAATGCATTATTTTACAAATTTACAGTCAGTTGTTATGTACAATACACATTACACATCATGGTTTAGAGTAAATTTTCTTTTAAAATGTATCGATTAATCTATAATCTATTTTTCTCTACATCGTGGTAGGTAGTGTGATAAGTTATTTAATATAAGATTATCCATATATTGTACGTCTATATCTATACCTTTGTTCTTTAGAGTTTTTCTCAGTATTGGTCTTGTCAATGAGTACTAGAATTCTGACCTAGTAATATTCATTGAACCCAAACAAAAATATTAGGGTTCATAAAGGTCTATATGGGACATCAATACTTTAATCCTTATTTTAATGTAAAAAAATGTAAGTTATAAACCTACATAACTTTAATTAAATAATTATAAATAATTATTAAAAATACTAGCTTTAGACTCTGAGCAGAGCAATGATTGTATTGATTTTACAATGATATACAAATAATCGTGGCGCAATTTGAAACGCTTTTAAATTTTAACTTATGTAGATATCTTTTCCAGTCTAGTGTCACTAATAAAACGGGTTTTTACTCCAAATAAGCTTGTACATTTTTTTTCCTATCATCACATATTGTGCTAGTAAGTACAGGTTGGATATAGCTTAATATAAAACAATAATAAAAATTAAAAATATAGTTAGGTATTCTGAAAACGATGGTTAAGACCTCGAAATTTTTCACTGTTACCCTTGGTCCCGTTGGCTGTGAAAATAAACGTTTGTACCAATATATGTTAATAATGTTATAAAACTAATAATGTATATAAATAATATAATAGATCGATCAACGATATAAATTACATAATATTTAATATTCATTCATTAAAACTCAAAACAGCAAAATAAATTATAATTCAACTGAAAAAACAAAAATTTAAATTAATTCTTCCATGAGAACCTCTTAATCGGTTCGAGTGATTCTTTCTTTGTCGTAAATACTTATCGGCGTCCATTTCATGATGTTCACTATTTTTCGTAATAATTATATAAACTATTTAAATATTATAATATTATAGTAATTAAATAAAGTATAGTACTATAGACCTAAGGATATTGCATAGACAAACAATATTTTTTTAGGTCTATAATTAAAAGTCTTACAGACAAATCTATTAACAGTATTAATCATTACGATTCGTCGTTTGACGTGGTGGTAGGCCGTGTCCCGCGCTTCGCCGTTGTATTGGCCGCACTGTTGACACAACCGCGGCGGCGGTAGCACAGTTTTTTGTGATTCGCTGTCTTCTTCTAACTCTTATTCGGCGTTTTTCGATTATCATCTCTCTTTATTTTCGTGTGTTTTTGGCGCAATTTATTGTTTTTCCTTTTCTTAGTTCTCTCCGCCTATCGTCGTGACGCTGTGCCTGTGCATCGACATCACACACTTTCCGCGCCGCAAGTGTGCGTTGTACGGTTTGTACACATCACGGTCGTCGGTTAACTCAAAATTTCCCGGTGAAATCTGTCGTGCCCATCGTCCGTGCCACCGTCACGAAACGCTCATCATTCCTTTACATCAACTGGCATCGACCAAAGAACACCGACCATTTACGTATTAGCATTCATCTGCGGCGATAATGGGTGACAAGGAAGGTGGTGAGTGTGAGAATATTCGTACCGAATTTTTCGTCCACATTGTTATTGTTTAAACTGTGATTGTCGTACTTACACCGGCGTCTTTGTTTTTCAGATACGTTCGATGAGGCAGTTGAGGAGCGTGTCATCAATGAGGAATACAAGATATGGAAGAAGAATACACCGTTCTTGTACGACTTGGTTATGACTCACGCTCTTGAGTGGCCATCGCTTACCGCTCAGTGGCTTCCAGACGTTACTCGGTAATTAAATCCATTCTAAATGTATTCATTATGTTTAATATTGTTTGCGGCCGGCTGTCTATCGATCTAATGGATAAGTTTTGCATTGTTGTCACTGCCAAATACCATTAATTTAGATTGTTGACTACATTAAATATTGAGAGACCAAGAAATTTATCTCATTTTATAAAGTTTTTGTATTAGAATGGGTTTAAAAAGATAAAAACAAAATTTTACTGTTACTCAAATTAAAAAAATAATAGTCTTTATATCTTTTCTTTATGCCTTTCATTAGTTAAAGATGTATTAAAACCACTTTTTGTTTATTGTATAATGTTCTTTAACGTATTATATTTACTGAATAATTATTAGCACATTACTATGTAATTACATTTTATATCGCACTACTTTGATAGTAAAATAGTATTATAAATTGTTAATAACAATATAAGAAATTAAAAGAAATTTTGGCATTTTTACCAATAAAAAATAAATTAATACATGAAAAATATAGTTAATTGTGAATTATTTATCATAAATAATCAACTGATCTAATATGTGGGCTGTAAAGTTATGTAGTATGCTAGAATTTTGTCATATAGTTTGCATGGTTGTTGTGTACTGCGTTCTATTTAAGACTTCTTATCTAATAATATAAGTAATGTCATAAAACAGCGGTTCCCAACCTTTTTTCATTTTGTACCCTTAAGTTTAATGTTTTGCTAGATTGTACCCCTCATTATAATTTTTGAACTTTTCACTTAACTACTTTTAAAATATTTAAATAAAAAATAACAAAACATTCTATGTTACATTTTATACTCCATATCTATTAGATAAATTGACGGTTAAGTTTAAATTTGTGACATAAATTTTCATTTTTAATAACATTTATTGAATATTTTCAAAACGAATTGTAAATTAACAAATTAAACATTTTCTGCCAATAATAAATTTTGTTTCACATACCCCTGGTTGGGTATAGCTATCATAAAATATTGCGAGAAACTAAAGCCAAAGCTGATGATTTATTTCATCACATAAAACTAATTATTAGTATTATTATTCAATGGAATAACTTAATGTGAATCAATGAACATTATATATTAACCATAGTTTTTGTGCATAATGGCTTTTTATTAATATTGCTTACTATTTCATTAATATTAAATTTAATATTTGTATATTTTTGTAGCCCGGAAGGCAAAGAATATTCTATACATCGTTTAATACTTGGTACTCATACTTCAGATGAACAGAATCATTTATTAATTGCTAGTGTTCAGTTACCAAATGAAGATGCTCAATTTGATTCTTCTCATTACGACGGAGAAAAACAAGGTATATAAATTATCATAAGTTGTATTTTTATGGTCATTTAATATGGAACTTATATTTTTTAGAATATGGTGGATTTGGTTCTGTGAGTGGTAAAATTGAAATCGAAATTAAAATTAACCATGAAGGTGAGGTTAATCGTGCTCGTTACATGCCTCAAAATCCATGTGTAATTGCTACTAAAACACCTTCAAGTGACGTATTAGTATTTGATTATACCAAACATCCATCAAAACCTGATCCAAATGGAGAATGTCAACCGGATTTAAGGTAAAAATTAGCATAAAATTTCCATTAAATTAAATTAAAATATTTTCATTTTAAAATAGATTAAGAGGTCATCAAAAAGAAGGCTATGGTTTATCCTGGAACCCCAATTTAAATGGATATTTGTTAAGTGCATCTGACGATCATACCATATGTCTATGGGATATTAATGCCACTCCCAAAGAACATAGTGTTGTTGAAGCTAAAACTATATTTACTGGACATACTGCTGTTGTTGAAGTACTGCATAAATTTCCGTCTTCTGAAATGGCATTTGATACTACATTGTTTTATTTTTAGGATGTTGCTTGGCATTTATTACATGAATCGTTATTTGGTTCTGTTGCTGATGATCAAAAACTAATGATTTGGGATACACGTGCCAACAATACGAGCAAACCATCACATACTGTTGATGCTCACACTGCTGAAGTTAACTGTTTATCATTTAATCCATATTCAGAATTCATTTTAGCTACAGGAAGTGCTGATAAAGTGAGTTAAATTTTAAATTCTTGTTAATTCTAAATATGCATACATTTTATTTTTTAATTTCTCATTAGACTGTAGCCTTATGGGATTTAAGAAATCTGAAGTTAAAATTGCATTCCTTTGAATCACATAAAGATGAAATATTCCAAGTACAGTGGTCACCACATAATGAGACTATATTAGCATCTAGTGGTACAGATAGACGTTTACATGTTTGGGATTTAAGTAAAATAGGGGAAGAACAGTCGCCAGAGGATGCTGATGATGGCCCCCCGGAACTTTTGGTAATTATAATCATATTATGCTACAATTGTTTAATTATGAACATTAATTTACAAATTATTGGGTATTAAATTTGTTCAGTTTATCCATGGTGGTCATACTGCTAAAATATCAGATTTTTCTTGGAATCCTAATGAGCCATGGGTTATATGTTCAGTTTCTGAGGATAATATTATGCAGGTACTTAATTTAAAATTAAATATTCATATCTCAATGATAACATTTTTATCACAACCTTTCTAACTATAATATTTAATCTTAGGTATGGCAAATGGCTGAAAATATTTATAATGATGAAGAACCGGACGCTAGTAGTCCTGAAGTAGACACACCTGTTCCTTAAACTTTGTACATTAATTTTATCAAGATTACTTTAAGCGTAACATAAATAATAATGGTCTTTTTTTTTTTATTCAATTTGCTATTTGAAATGTACATATAAGCACTGAGTATATTCAATTCTATTCACATCCTTGTAATTTGTATAATATATTTCTATACCATGCATCTTACATTTTAATAATTTATTGTTTCATATTGTGCAGAGTTGTATTCTGAATAATGGTACCATTAAACAAATCCATTAATTTTTAATGATTGTAGGTAATTATCATCTTTTTTATTTATTATTATTTTTTTTTTTATATATATGTGTACAATTTTGGAATAAACAACTCAAAATAGTAATATACTCTGAAAAAAGTATTAATTTTTATTATTGTACTACAAGTGAAAATGAAAATCCAAACAATTTAAAAAAATAATAACAAACAATGAATAGTTATATTAAGTACGCATGCGAAATGAAAATTATTTTTGATCTATGACCACATTATTAGTCTTAATTTTATAAAAAAAAAATATATTTAATATTTACGTGTACCTATTTAATACACCTTTAATTCTTGTAAACGGAGCTATTTCATCTATAATTTATCACAATCTTTTCATTACAATCATAAATCTTAACAAAGAAAATCTCCTTTAGGGTTAATATTAATGGCCCTAGGATTTTTTCTGATTAGGAACAAAAAAAAAAAAAATATACAAATTTATATAATGGTTAAAAAAGAACTAAGTTTAAACTTAACATATTATGTCTTAATATTAATTTGTTCATTTCAACATTTAAGTTTCTTAGAGATTGTGTGTCTATTACCACAAAGATACTGATACAGATGAAATGCAATGAAAGAAAACAACATTAAAAATTGGAAGATCAAATAAACAAACTGAAGTAGAAAACCCCATTGGTCAAAGAACTGAGAAAAGAAAATATCAAAATAGATAAATAATAAATTATGAAGTGCAAGAACTTAGGTCAAATTCATAATACATGAGAAGGGGAGTAATTAATTAAAATCATTTAAGGTATTTGTAAAATGTTAGTTAACTAAAAAAACACTGATTCTAACAAAGAATATTACTATTAATACAAATTTTTTCTAAATTAATATTTCTCTGACTACCAACAGATCTAATGTGTACAATAATTATCTATTGAGAAAGAGAAGAGAGAATTAATTTGTTGTCAGTTTTTGAAAAACACGGCAATTCTGTATGCAAACACTAAAACATTAGAAATAATGCTATTAGACGATATAAATATAAAAAAATAAATACAATTTAATATAGTAAAGAATATTGAACTCATTAGTTTTAGTTACTGTTATGCTTGATGTTGTATTATTAGATTAAAATACAACTTTATCACATTTTACAAAAGCTGAGACACTGGGTAAACATACACCAAAGTACAAAAAGCAATATGGGTGATTGGTGTTCACGTCAAACTAATTGTTATTATATTCTTATCAATAAATCTGTAGGATCCAAACAAAAGTAAAATTATAAAATAATTACTAATCATTAAACTCAACAAATAGGTACAAATGAAACTGTATGGATTGAAGTTTAAAGTATTTTTTTATTAATTTTAAGTATATGAATATTAAATGCTTTTCAAAAAGAATGTGTTTAGATTTAATTGAAAATTGAAATAAGAATTAACAACAATTGTGATAATTTAATTTGAAAATGTTTTTTTCACTATGACAATAATTGTTTACAGAATTGGTCACATTTGCTTAAAAGCACATTTATGTGTTGTAAAACATACAATATATTTGTTATTTTTACAAGACTACTTACTTTTATGATAAAATTAAGCTTCAGTGACTAAGTGTGAACTTTTCTTAGGCGTATATATAGTGGCATTTGGATCAAGGCTAGACTGTGGTGAATTACTACCACCAAACCTCATTGTTGGCGATCCGCCAACAGAGTTTACCATATGGTATGAATTATTTGGTGGCGTCATAATCATTGTCTGAGCCATTTTAGACTTGAGTTCTTCAATCTCTTTTTCTTGAGACGAAATTTTATCTAAGAACACAATTCAATATTATTATCCAAAAACTATATTATGACTATATTTAAAAAATATTACTAATTTTAATTTCTAGCTGTCTCTTGGCTTCGCCTAATGCTGAAAACAGATCGAGTTTAATGCGCGTTTCCGCGCTCAGACTGTGTTCTAAATGAGCGTTTTTGTCTTTCAATGTTGACAACGCAGACATAACAAAATCAATTTTATCTTGACTTTGTTTGTATGGTTGAAGATCCTACAATTGACAATAATTTTAATTAAACATTAAAATAAGTATATTTAAACTTACATTGACTTCTTTTTGGGCTGCCACATACTGCTCATCTTTTATCCTAAGTTCTTTGCGTAATGCTTTAGCTTCATTTTCAAGCTCCCTGCGTCTAACCTTACAGCTTTCCGTACATTCTGGTCTAAAATAAAATTGAAAATTGTATTTAGTAATTAATTATAAAATAAATGTAAGTAAAATATTTACTTTGTAGATAAAGCTGATAATCTAGAAGCAGCAAGCTCTTCAACTTTTTTTAATTGTCTTCTTTCTGTGACTAATTGAGACTCACATGAAATCCTTTGTCGTTTTTCATCTGATAAACGTTTTTCAAGTTGAGACACCATCTGTCTATCATTTTGGTGAGTTACTACCAAATTGATAACCCTAAACAAATTAATTGAACAATTTAGTAGAAAATAATCTAATAAAGCCATTAATAATTTTACTTAGTTTTGGTATCTTCGTGTTCTTGTTTCAGCCTTGTCAAATCATTTGATGTGTTTGAATTTTCAAGCAAAGCTGTATTTAACTGATTTCTCAGTTCTTTTTCTATTTGACTACATGAATGAAGTTCAGATTTAAGCCTTTTTAACTCATTTTCCAATCTAATTATGTGTTAAACATATTAATAAAAGCCATTATTTTAAAATAACAAAAACTTACGTTTCACAATATATGTCTTTAGGATCAACAATTAAAGGCTTTTCTAGTCTTAGTGGTGAAGTGCCTTTAGCTTTTGTAGATTCTTTTGTGCTTGAGTTTTGATTACTACACCTTAGATGATTATTATTTTTAGTTGATGACGCTTTAGGGGTCACCCTTTTGTTTTTTTCTGTTTCTTTATTTACATGATTTTCTTGGTTACTATTACAACTATTAAAACCAATTTAATATTATTTTATTTCTACTTTGACAAAAATACAGATGATTTATAACTAAATAATAAATACTTACATTAATTTATCATTAGTTACTATTTTTTTATTAGGTATTTCAGTACATATTGTATCTTGTTTTTCAGGTTTTTTATGTGGAACACTACCATTTGATATCACTTTATTATTATGTACATCATTTTCATCTGCAGGTACCTCACAAATTGATTCCAACCATATTTCTACATAATATGTAAAATAAAACAAATTAATATAAATATTTAAGAATTTACATTTTTAAACATGAAATTACCTCCATCATCATTTTCTTGACTAGGTATAATGGAGCCGGTTATTCTATCAAATGGTAAAGCATCTAATAATAAGTTTTGGTAAAACTCATTTTCTTTAGAAACCCTCTGTTGTTGTTTCTAAAAAAAAATGTAAATAATAATATACACTATACAAGTATTATGATCCAGGGTTGGATATTTTAGCACTTAGTTAATTGTGTTTAAATAAAATAAAATCTACTTAATGATACTTACTTGTCTCAATTTATGACTTAAGTAACTTTTGAAACCAAAACATAGTGTAACCACAGGATATCCAATACTAAAAATTAGTAAGCCAATTACTGTGTATTATTTATTAAAAAAAACAATGTACAATATAATTAATATATTATTTAATATCTTACCAGTTGGCAGCTAAAGGTTTACACAAAACCAATTTATAAGGAATATGGTCAGGGTTATTCAGTCGGATATAAGCCTCCACATAAATGTACAAGACTAATAAAGTTACCACTGGCCAAGAAACACATTTTTCTACATAGAGTATAGAATAAATATAAGATAAGTAAATAAATAAAAATCATGTAAAACAAGTTTAAATTAATATTTGACTAACCTGCTTGGTAAATATATTGCACCCAAAAATATGTACTAGCAACAAACAGCAACCAATGTACGGGTATGAAGAAAAAGCACACCATGTCTGATGTCAATGCAATACAAACAAAAAACACTGTATAAACCTGCAACATTATTAATAGATAAAAATAAATACATATTAATTTGATTAATACCCATTAAACAAACATTTTATAACTTTAAAAGTAAGATGCTAAAATGTATATTGTTATAATTTTTACTTTATCACTATGTGTAATATTTTTAAGACACAGTATACTATTTTAAATTTTAGAGTATCTAGGCTATACATCACTCAAATAACACATCAACATTTAAGTCCATGCTTATGAGTACATAACCAAGTATACGTTATAAAATATTAGTTTCATATTGATACCAATGACTAATGGTGCCAACTTTTTCGTTAACTTAAAAACTTTAAAAGAACATGTTCAGTTTAATTTAATTACTTTTTAGCATTAAATGTTAGTTATTAATGATTTGTAATAACAAATTATAACTACTTATAAAATTATTGAATGATAGATTCAGTCAAAGTAAATATAAATATCAGAAAAAATTAAGAGCTTTACACCATATACTAAGCAATACAGTATTTGTTTCACTATACATTGATTAACAATTGAATAGTTACATAAATAATAAAATAATTTATATATCATTCATGGGTGTACTTACAAATCCTTGATGTTTAATTCCTTCAAAAATTTTGTGAAACAGAAGCCAAAATGGCCAAACGTATTCAAACCGAAAGTGCAGTAAATAATCAAGTAGTATTAAAACGAGCCAAATGCCGAACAGCTTCAAATAATGTACTGAACTAAAAGCAAATATTAAGTACGAGTTTAGTAATAACGATTAATGCATTGTGTCCGATTGCGAATTTATACCTCCAGTAGATTCCTTCGGAGGCAGATTTGTTTCTTTTCAAGGCCTTTCGAGATTTTCCACAATCGCCATTCCTTCTCTTCATACTACCAATTATTGTGTTTATTCAAATGCATATATAAAACTATGAATTAGTTCGTTGAGAAAAACAACAAAACGTAATCTAAAACGATGCAGTGAGAATACGTTTAATTGGTGGCGGTCCTATGCATTGCTGTAGGATGTTGCGTTCAAGTAGCGTTTGAATTTAAATTTCGAACGATCATGAATTCATGACTGACCGCAACTGCGTTCAGTAGGCACGAATTACAAAATTAAATAATGAAATAAATCCATACAAATCATAACCAACAAATCCCGATGATCACTTGGCATAAACGAGAGATAAGAAATGTTCAGATGATAAACATTTTTCATACACTACTCGCTCTATACACAGGGCACAGGCGTCAGGTACAGCACACTGTACTCTGTAATACAGTAAATCGTCAGCGTTTGTCCCTGTTTAACAGGTAATAACTCTTAATAGATTTTGGGCATAAAGTTCTGATACTTGGCCATGTCGTCCGGATCGAGATCGTGAAATCATCGATCGGCCAAATGCCGGTAAACGGGAGTCTAAGAGTTTCGATAAAGTCCGACGCTCAATCGAGCATCGTCTTAAAATTACCGATCGTGGGCTATACAGTGGGTAACATAATGGTTCATTATGGTCGCGCTCTCCCAAAATAAATGCCTATGTGCAAAGTGCAATTCTACTACACTCCGTCTACAAATACCGTTTACCTGAACGTTAGCAGCAGAGGGCAGGCGAGTGCAACTCGCTGTAGTACACAAATGTCGAACGATTGTCGTCGGCATACAACGTGGTTTTTTCTCCATGAAATTCAAAAGCGTAAAAATATCGTTGTATTTTTAATTAAATATTTATATTTAATGCCCGAGTGAGCCCAACACGGTTAAATATTTCAATATGTTGAATTGCTGAATGTTCTTGCATCGCTCTACTACCAAGACGGTATTCTTCAATATTCAGTATACAGTAATAAGTCTAAATCGTAGTTATTCGCAACTTTTAATTATTACGACGCTCCTCGGACCCCGGTAATGACGACTGTGTAAAAATCAATTATTATTATACTATAAATTATAATATCATCTGTGATATTATAAAAATATGTCCATGTAAATAATGTGCATATGCGTTATGTAGTAGGTATGTATCTACAGTACTTTGTACCTACTCTGTGATCCGTATAGTATATTATATTTACCTATATAAGTCCGTTGTGATCTATATAATAAATAACATGTATTATTATATTACCTATTATTATTTATAGGTAATAAAATTGAACACTCGTTGTTCGTGGTTTGTCGACAAAAATTATTGTGCTCTCTAACAATGTTGTGATCGATATAAAATTACAAAACTATATTGAAAATCGACGTAAGTATCGCATAAATGTATGCATCAAAAGCACTGTTCGGACGTTATATAATAATTAATCAATGTTCGAGTTTGTGACTTGCGAATTTTATCGGTTTGACCGGAGTTGTATGGGTTTTGAAGAATGCATCAGTAATCCGTCTTAGATATAAAAATTGAATTTAAAGATTTACTGGTTTCGTACTGGGTTATTTAAATGGATGTACTATCCCACATAACGCATACATAGTTAAAAGTTATGATTCTATTTCTAATTATCATAGAAAAATAAAGTAGCTTAATGTATTGTACAGGGAAAGTTCTGTATAGTGAACAGCCATCATGGGGAATTAAAAAATGTCCACTATTGAGAAAACCTCTAAAAAAATGTCCACTATTGAGAAAACCTCTACATAGTGGATATTTACGAGAAATTACCAAATGTCCACTATATATAGGGAAGCGCTATAGATAATTGGTTAAAAATATATGTATATACATTAAAATTGATATATATATATATATATAAATTAAAATATAGTTTAAATATAATATTTTATATTTATGTATAGTAAAAAGTGGGTATAAAAATATTTATAAAAATTTTAACGTATAGGTATGACAATGTGTAGCACACAATTGATGACCGAACACATAACCGGACCATTTTTTATAAGTTAGATATAAGTTTATACGTATATTATATTGTTTAGTTGTCTTAAATGATTATCAACCTTCATGCACCGTAATAATTCGTTACGATAAAATACGATACGATAATAGTAAACTTCAACTGAACTCGATCACTGCAGTTGATGTATTTTTTAATTATTATAAAAATACTATAAACCTACTTAATTATAATGGATAATTTAATTAAATAATTAATAATTTTAAAATGAAACTTACAGTGTAACAGGTACAATATTTTTTTTCCGCTTTTATCCCACTACTACAGTACAAAAGCACAAAATGAATTTGGGTTTTTAGTCTAAAAAAAAAAAAAATCGACGATTTGCGCTTTTGGGTATTAGAGTTAAGATAGGATAAAATATAAACGAAATGTATAAAACATACATAGAGTACTTTTATTTCTTAAACATTTTCAATATGTAAAAACGATACTAAAATTCTTTTTCAACCAGTTGTCTACAAATCTCTTCTTCGATCCCCAAATAAAAACGTCTGTTACTATGCAACTTTTCCATTTTCATTCAAATATTTACTTTTTAATATTGTTTATAGACATTTGAACAACAATTAAAGTATAATTTTGAAGTCTGATGGGTTGTCTTTGTATAATATATTAATATAATAATATGTATTATATAGATATATGTATGTCAAAAAATAAAACCAATTAAATGTCGGCAATTTTCTCATACATGAAATTTAAAACATGCGAGTATTATTATCATAAAATAAAATAACTACCTGAGAATATTCAAGGTCATGCGATATAATATATTTATAAAATTTAATGATTCAACTTGATTGTAGTATAATAATTATTAGTTTCATTGTAAATTAGGCAAATAAATTTACTTATTAGCGTTAATGACGATAATTTCTAAAATAATTAACGATGGGAATAACATTATAAATGATTATACAAAATAAAAATTATATTTTACAAAAATAGTATGTCAATAGAATTTGTATTTTTTTATATGTTTTTTTATGTGTATGAACATTTTATGTAAGCATATACGTTTTTCAAACATGTATATAGGATTAAAACTAGATACTTCGACATTTTGAAATTCGAAAAATGGCATGTATAAAAAAATCAATAATATAAATCAAATGACATTTTTTAAAATCTATGTAATATACTGCAGTTAGAGGAGTGAGTAATTAAATATGTATAGCATAAAAATGTATTAAAAGTTACGTGTACTAAGTATTTATAATTAATATTTTGAAATAATCCAACTTAGTATTTACTATTTTTGTTGTTAAAAAACTAAAAAAAATTTTGAACTATTTATATTTTAATATTATATAATGATTAATGAACTTGATTGATTCCAAAAACTAGAGCCAGCTGGTTATACAATATAAAATATTATTACTATTATTAGTTATAAGTTTATTATTAAATAATAGTTCTTAATAAAATGAATTGGATTTCACACTATATATATTTATCAGTAATTCATTTAATTAAATCTATTGAGGAATCAAAATAATTTTCATAAAAACAAGTATTAAATGTGTAATTTTTTATTTTTTAAAAAGCTGTCTGGAAACTTAAACTATTGAAACAAATAATCGTATTATCGTAGCATATACATGAAACATATTACAAAAGAAACACCAAAAAATAAAATAAAATAAAATATCAAATACCTAGATTAATAGGTAATAAAATAATAAAAATTATGTAATTCATTACAATAATAAAATAATATAATGTAATATTGTTAGGAGTTTTATAAATATTTTTTTTTATTTAAAGGTATCTAAGATTTATAAGAATTATTTAAAGATAAGAATGGATTTTTTTTTAAGTATATAATAGGTACATATAGTATCCAAGACGGGATATGCATAAATTGGTTATATTTACTAAATGATAATCTTTATTCTTTAAACAGTGAAATATAAGCTATACTATTGTTTATATTCGAAGTTTAAAATACAGATGTGTATTAATCTTAATTGAAATCTAGACAACATTTTTCACAAAAGATATTGTATTCTCGCCTGTTGGCCTTATGATAATTTCGGAGACCTGTAAAAATTAAAAATACGAAGTACAAAAATACGTTAATAATAATTATATACTAAATAGTAATAAGTATCGAAAACAACAACCTAACACTACCGAGTAGTATTTGAGAGGCGGTGGGAAAATAATCCCAGGATATGTAAATCATCATTTGTAGTGTGAAGGAAAATCGTACCATTTCGGAAGTAGGTCATACAAATTGCGTACAAAATTTTGGGATCAAAAACCCACTTAAATAATATCGATTTGAGTCGTAAATTTAAGGCATAACAATTTGGAAAACTGTCATAAAAATCAATAATAGTATTAAATGTTGTATTTGAAAATTAAAATAAAAATATCAAGTATTAGTGAAATTGGAGTAACTTAATTTATAAAAGTACTTAACAATTAAGAAGTTACGCACAGAGATAACAAAAGATATTTTTTGATAAATTTATGTATAGATACTTTAAGTAGGTAAGTATCTAAAATTTATTATAATAGGCGTCTTTAAAAATATTTCGACTTACGTTAACACGCTGCGGTGCACTCAACGCGTACATAATAGCTTCAGCAATATCAATAGATTTCAACATTTTCACGCCTTCCAATAATTGACTAAGACTGTCAGTCATTTCGGTTTCTACTGCACCCGGACTAATACTCTAAAATTAAAACGATTAAAACTTTGTAAACTTGTAAAATTCAGTATGGTATATACATTTTTATTTAAATAGAATATTTTTTAATAGGTATAGATATTTTTATAATATAGCAGAAAAAAACAAGTAAGGTAAGTAAAGGTAAACCTCTTTAAGCTTGTTAAATTTTCATGTTGCTAAGTTTTACCAAGTATAATTTAAATACAATATAAATATTATATCTAAATATATGCCTGAGTAGTGAAGTTAATTATATTTAAAGTTTAAACATCTAAAGTAAAAATGAACTTTAAATATCGACTATACAAATAATAACAAAAATCGTACATTTGATTAATAACCTAACAAATTTATTATGATATCCATGTATAAATCATAATTTATAACCTGTAATTAATCAATACAATTTATGTATTGATATCTATCTATACAACCTGTAATAAACCTAAAATCTAATAAATTACCGTAACTCTAATGGGTAAGTTTTTCATGCCCATTAATTCTCTTAAATATTCTGTAATCGCAGTGATCCCATGTTTGGAAGCGCTATAAACTGACATATCTTTGAAAAATGGAAATATGTAATGACCTGCAACACTACAACAGAAGTTAATTTTATTAAGCTAACAATACATAAGTGATAAGTTATATTGTTATAAATGTTATAATTGTTATAAGCTTAGAAATAAATTAAAATTTATATCGTGGATTGATATTTGAAGTTATTCCATTAATACTCGACGAATCAATAAGTATTTCAAATTAAACTATAATAACTAATAACATCTGGACAAAAATACAATATATTTATCTTTATTTAAAGTTTAAAAGGTTACTTTAAAATATATTAACATCCTTATACGCTTTTATTAAATGTATTAAATAGTTACCTGTTAATATTTATGATGTGACCCTCTTTAATTTGTATTTCCTCCATAATTTTTATGGCCTCTCTGCTGCAAATGTTAGTGCCTATGACATTAGTGTCAAACATTTGTTTCCAATCATTTGTGTTTCCTGAAAGTTTTATAAAAGTAACAGTTTTTATTGGCTTTACAACAATTATTAATATTATTTCATAGTCTCATAAATAAATTATTGATTACAAATTCACATTTACTTGATACCTACTTCTGAAGATTATAATAAATATGAAAATATTTATTACTAATTTACTAAATTTAAAAATCATTAATAATTATTGTGAAATAAAGTTTTAGTTAATATTTTTTCAATTCTTTTAAGAATACCTATAATAATATCATTACAAAAATGGAAAAAATACCTAATACCTTTATAAATACATTTTATTAATTCAATTTTTTTTTAATGATAATCTACCATTACTCAACAAACGATTGTTAATAAGTGTCTATAATAGATAAACGTCAAACTGTGTACTGGTAAGAATGGTTACAAATAAAAATATTTTAAAGAATCTAAGTATTATAACATAATACTTTTAAATCGTTGTTTAGAAGTTTGGAACCCATCATATATAAATGACACGTTCTGAAACAGAATAATGTATTTAAATTATTTATTTTTTATATATAAGAGAATTGACCAATTATCAAAATTAAAGATAAAAATGTTAGTTTTAGCCCCTTTGTCCTTAACAAATATTGTAATGCCTAAGCAACTTATTTTAAGATTAATAACAAATTATTTTTTAATTATTTTTAAAGTCGAAGTAGTATAAAACTACGCGAGGAACTAATTAATATTTTATCTTTAACTTGATATTAGTTCAAATAACTCTTAAATTAAAAACAGTATAGTAAATGTAAAATTGTTTATATACAGAATATTCAGTTTTTTAATTAGGTATACATATGACCATTTTTAATTTACACTGTATATAATGTATGCATAACTTGCTAAATAATTGTGCAATCGTAAAAAAATAACAAACGAACACAGATAATGTTCTTAGATACCTTCAAGTTTTATAATAGGTCGATTTACTCTAATTTTTAAATGAACGGAGCTAAAGTGTTTTGCTGAGCATAAATTTGCTATGTTTTGTACTTTTAAGACGGAGACAACACATGCAGGTTTGGCATCCTCTGTGGATCTCCGTGGAAAATCAATATTATTATACGAGTTTTTTTTATAATAAATAGAAAGAAAATTTTAGTTGAATAACATATTATGTTTCAAGATTTTTTTTTGGAAACTTTTTTTATGCAGATAGTTTTTTTAAATGTTAAAGTTAGTCATTTTTTTTGTTTAAAGAATATGAAGACTGAAGAGTGACCTCCATTATTTGAAACATAGAGTCAACGTTTTTGGATCCAGGTTTATAATACATTTTTAACGTTAATGCACTTATCTTATTTTATTATGGTTAATGAATTAATATGAACAAATAAGCCATTCTATATTTAATAGTGACAGTGGCTAATTGCAATTGAACACGATAACACTTAAAACATGTGATTACAATTATTAGCTACTGCCGCTATATTAACCATAGAATATACCTTATTATGTATTATAAAATCATTTTTGTGATCTACAATTGATGTATTCTTTGATCTACTTGACCTATTTCACTTAGGTATTTATTGTATTTTAAATTTAATAATTAAGTTTTTTATTACATTAGAAAATCGACAAAATGACTCAGTAATACACTTCTAAATTATATACTATAGCTAATATCTACACGATTTAATATTATTCTAAATTATTTAAAAAAAATACAATAAAATTAAAGGTTATTTTTAAAATTTAAAATACTTAATTGCATACAATTTTATTTAAAGTTGAATTTTTGAAAAAAAATTAAATATATGCAATTCAATTAAAATGCCTTTACTTATTGTCTTATACTTTAATGTAAAATAATTACATTTAAATATTGTATTGATTTGTCACGGTAGTACAAAACTTGTAAATTAAAACACGTTCTTTAAATTTTTATATACTTTATTACGTATTATTTTACATACTTTATTCTTAATTATCTAAATACTATAAATTAATAAATTAGTTCAATTTACCTAACAAATCACTATGCTTCCAGACACCTGCATTATTAATTAGTACGTCCACCGATTTCAATGTTTTCTTTATCCAGTTAAAAGCTTCCAAAATATTTTCTTCCGAACACAAATCAACTTTATGGTAATAAAATTTTCCTAGTTTTCCTCTTAATTCGTTTTCTAACGCCTGAAAAAAATATTGGATTAAATACCATGTTTTATGCATTTAATTAATAGATCTAGAAAACTATAAATTTAAAATTTCGTGGAAATCATTCTGTCATATATTATTCATTGACTGTAACTTGTCATTAAGTGAAAACTGAATACTGTCATTTTCAGTAAAAGGCTGTACTAAGAATATTATTAAAAGATATATTATTGCAAATGAAAAATTTCCGAGCCCAAACTGTCAGTTATATTTCCAAGCGACATTTTATCATATTATTCATATTACATTATCAGAAATCAATAAATAAATCTAGACATATAAAATTCAAAAATCCCTTGAATAAATAACTAATCACAGGCGAAGCTGTGACGGGTCGGCTAATAATTTATATATTATTTATATTGAAAATAGTATTTTATTATTCAACAAGTAATATGGTTTGGGTTAAAAATATTTAAACTAAGAAAAATCTGTGTAAACAATATAATAATTTTATTACAATAATAGCGTTACTTATAATATTACTAGCTATATTATAATATAGGTACTAACGTACTGCAGAACAGTGCGAATAGATTCGTGGACTCGTAGTATAAATAGTTTGAAATCATTCTAAGTTTCAAGTGTTTACGAATTATTTATAGATTCAGAGTGGAACATTGAATAAATTGATTTTACAATGATACATGTGTATTTTATTTTTATGTAATCCCAGTTTTTGTCAAAATTAATTTTATTTTTTGGTGTAACTCAAAAACAAATTATCATAAATACTTGTAATTTTTGCAAAATGTTTATATGATCATTGTTCATGATGTACAATCAAATTTTCAAAATACTTTATCTGTTTTTGTGTTGTTTATATCTTTTGTAGACATTTAAAATTTTCCATTTTTTTTTTTTTTTTTTTTTATGTTTTAACGTGGAATAATAAAATAATTGTTGGTTAAAAATACTGCAACGTTCTCCTCATAAGTAATTTATATCGTACTAAATACTAAAACCAAAATATCTAAAAAAAAATTATACATAAGTAGGGCTTTTAAGTTCGTGCCTTAAACAATGCCTAAACAATCACTAAATAAACTGGCAAATTATGCATGGAAATATGCATTCAAATGTTTAGAAATATTTAAACGTACATTTTTATGAACTAAAATCTAAAACTATGCACTTAAAATATGATGATTAAAAAAAGAAACAAACAAATTTTATCTGACTCGCAGACAAAGAATAAATAACTTTATTACAACATTATACGTATGTGTTATTGTTGTGATTAATAATTTTCTTATTACATCTAATTTTAAAATAATACCTATTATATATTAAAAATATATGATTAGAAATTTGATGGCCCGTGAAAATTTTTCAGATCCCTAATGTGGCGGCCTTGACCTATAGGATCATTATTTTTAAGTGATTTATAAATTGAATATAGAAAATAGAAGCCTCATATGTTTGACCATGTTTTGTATAGTATTTAACCTATAAATTATTAGGTACCTATATAGTGTGTTAAGTGTTATATGAATACGATGAAAAATGGTGAAAGTTGATTCAGTACAGTAGTCGTGGTCGGACCCAAACATAATAATTTTATTTTATTATACTCGAAACTCACGCATACCACAGATTAATAATAAATACAGCAATACGTAACTGAACGAAGAACAGC